ACGTTTGTTGTTATATCCCCTTTGCATTTCTGATTTTACTGATTGATTCTTTTCTGTCCTCATTTTAGTCAGGTTTTCTAGAGGTCTGTCAATCTTATTTATTTTTTTTTCAAGGAACCAACTTTTGTTTGGTTGATTCTTTGTATGGTGTTTTTGGTCTCTCATTAATTTTGGCCTTATTTTTATTATTTCTCTCCTTTTGCTTCTTTCGGGTTTTGCTTGTTCTTGTTTTTCTAGGAGTTTGAGATGTACAATTAGGTCGTTTATTTGAAAACTTTTTGTCCTTTTAATATATGCAGTCATGGCTATAAACTTGCCTCTCTGGACTGCTTTTGCTGTGTCCCATAGGTTCCGGTATGTTGTGTTTTCATTGTCATTAACTTCCAGGAACCTTTTAATTTCCTCCTTTATTTCATTGATGACCCACTGATCATTGAGGAATGTGTTGTTCAGCTTCCAACTGTACATGTTTTTTACTGTTGTTTTTGTTGTTGAGTTCTAGTTTTAATGCACTGTGGTCAGATAGAATGCATGGTATTATTTCTATTTTCTTATATTTGCTGAAGCTTGCTTTGGGCCCTAAGATATGATCAGTTTTGGAGAAGATTCCATGGGCTGCTGAGAAGAATGTGTATTGTGCCAAAGCTGGGTGAAATATTCTGTAGACATTGGCTAGCTCCTTTTGATCTATGGTGTGATTTAGATCTAGGATTTCTTTATTGATTTTTTGTTTGGATGATCTATCTATTGGTGATATCAGGGTATTAAAGTCTCCAACTACCACTGTGTTGGAGTTTACATATGCTTTTAGGTCCTTCAGAGTATGCTTGATGAAATTGGGTGTGTTGATGTTGGGTGCATATAGGTTAGTTGTTATTTCCTTTTGGTGTATTTCCCTCTTTATTAGAATGGAATGTCCTTCTTTATCTTGCTTGATCAATGTAGGTTTGAAGTCCACTTTTTCTGAGATAAGTATTGCTACACCTGTCTATTTTTGGGGGCCATTGTCTTGATAAATCTTCTTCTAGCCTTTCACCCTAACTGGTGCTTGTTTCTGTTGATGAGATGGGTGTCCTGTAAGCAACAGATTGTTGGATCTTCCTTTTTCATCCATTTTGCCAAACGGTGTCTTTTGATGGGGAAATTAAGTCTGTTAACATTCAGTGTTAGTATTGATAGGTATGTGATGATTCCTGTCATTTAGTTGTCTCCGTTTAAGGGTTTGATGTGTGCAGCTGAATCAATGCTGCTCTCTACTTTCTTGCCTTTTCTTCTCCTGTGGTTTGGTACTGCCTGTCCTTTCATGGTTTTGTTTGCTTTCATTTTCTCTGTCAAGGATTCTTTGAAGAATCTTTGCAGTGGTGACTTGGTGGTCATATATTGCTTTAGCTTCTGCTTATCGTGGAAGACTTTTATTGCTCCATTTATTTTGAGGGATAGTTTTACTGGGTAGTGTTACCTAAGGTTGAAGTTATTTTCATTCAGTGGCCAGAATACCTCGCTGCATTCTCTACTTGATTTTTAGGTTTCCATTGAGACATTTGCTGTGATTTTGATGGGTTTACCTTTGTGTGTTATTTCTTTTTTCTCTCTTACAGCCTTCAATATTCTTTCTCTATTCTCTGTACTTGTTGTTTTAATGATAGTATGTTGTGGGGGTCATTCTATTTTGGTCAAGTCTGTTTGGTGTCGTGGAGGCTTCCTGTACCTGAATGGGCATAGCTTTCTCTAGATTTGGGAAGTTTTCTGTTATTCTTTTGTTGAGTATATTACGAATTCCTTTTCCTTGCACCTCTTCTCCTTCTTCAATGCCCATGATTCTCAGGTTTGGTCTTTTTATGGAGTTGCTGAGTTCTTGCATATTCCTTTCACAGGTTTGAGTTGTTTGAGTAATCTTCAGTTTTTCCTTTAATTTCCATTTTATCTTCAAGTTCTGAGATTCTGTCTTCTGCTTGTTGTAGTCTGTTGTAGTGGCCCTCCATTGTGTTTTATATTTCTGTTTCATTTTTTTTTCTGAGGGTTTCCATATCATGGGTCACTTCTTGTTTAATATTGTCAACTTTCATCCTGTATTCATTTATTATTAATTATTATTATTACTATTTATGGTGTTCTATGTTTCACTTTGGTATTTATTTGGGGCTCCTATGACTTCAATTACTTGCTTTTGTGTCTTCTCATATTTGTTATTTTTGTTGTCTTGGAATGTCTTGAGTGTCTTCTGTGTGTTTTGGTTGACAGTGTCTAGTAACATCTCCATGAAATTCTCAGTGATTTTTTGCAGGATTTCTTCTTTCCGGGTGTTTTTGTGGGCTTCATTGGGTTCCTTCGGATAGTCTATCTTTGTTTTGTTGGGGTCTGGAACTGGGTATCCATTTTCTTCATTTCCCTCTGAATCCTGTACTAATTTATTTTGGGGGGAAGAATGGTTTCCATCCCTTTTTTGTCTTCCATCATTCCACTTCGTGCTGTTTTTGTCCCTGTTCTGTGTGTAATTTAGTATTAGATAACTTACAATAGTAAAAGTAATGAGACCCAGAAAGAAAGAGAAAGAAGAAAAAGAAAGAAAAAAAATAGAGAACCAAAGAAATCAACAGGGAGAGATGGTGTACTAACCAACAGTGAATAAGACAAGCACTTAGAGAGAAAGAGAAAAAAGCAAAAAGCAAAAAAATGTGAGGTTTGGGAAAAATGAAGTTTCAGTCTTAGTAGTTCTGGTGTTACTCCTTCAGCATCCAGTCCTAGTGTTGGTATTTAAGTAGTGTCTCTGTTGTAGTCTTGCCAGTTGTTTGGTCAGGAAATGAGCTTTGTGAACTGCTATCTGCCCTATTTCAGGCAGTGGCTCATCTGCCACCTACTGTCAGCCATCTACTTTTGCAGGCTTTGTCTACAAAGTGGAGAGCAGCTCCTTGCTCCTCCCCACTTCTGTGGTGCACTCAAAGCACCCTGCCACCTCTGCTGCATGTCCTTTTCAGTTCCTTGTTTATTACTCAGTTTTCTTTTTTTCGTGGGGTGGGGGTCGGTCTGTCCAGGAGGGTGTGTTGGTTTATCCCAGGGTTGGGTGAGGGAGTACCGCATGCCACTTACTTGCTCACCTGTTGGTCTGCGTCTCCCAAGCAGGTTTGGAACTGGCATCTGGTGGCATGGGAGCTCTCCTGGTTTCTCAGTGTAATGTGGTGTGGAGAAGCTTTGTGTGGGCTGGAGGTTCAGGGTGTTGGAGTTTTGCTTATTCTTGGTGGTTTTTTCCTCCAAGTGTGTGGCTCCAGAGTCTCAGCAAGATTTTTGATTTATGGATCTCACACTGCTTCCTCCCTCTAGTCGCCATCTTGGATCCTTGTACTATTATAAAAGAGCATTTTTTAAATCTCTGAGAAAATTGCCATATTTCTTTCTAAGTTTGAATTAACTTCAAGTATTTTATCTTTTCACTTTCACTGCTGTGAAGTATCTACTGGAACTCTGTTTACTTCTTCTGGGCAACCTTCACCCTTTCATCACAACCACTTTCTTCATTTATGTTGAGTTTCCTTCACTAAGTTCCTCTGGCTGTGCATCTGTCTCTCAGTTGGCTCAGCAACATTCCCATGATCTTTAATTTCTTCTGTAACTTCATTTATGTTCAATTTAAATTTCCTTTCCAACATGATCACTTTTCATTTCTTTGGTGGACTTTAATCTTTTCTGGCTAATTCCTGCTTCTTATTATCCATTTTTGTAAAAAGCCATGCGAATTATTACTGAGAAATAAGAAGGCAATGCAAGTACATGCTACGCTGTTTGTGGGAACCAAAAAATGAATGCATAGTTACCAGTACTGACAAGTTTTGAAAGAAGGGTTGTGACTGGTCACTGCTCATGATGTGTGTCTGTTAATTACAATGGTACCCCTTATCCTTGGGGATTATATTCCAAGACCACCAGCAGGTTCCTGAAATAATACATAGTACCAAGCATTAGTATGCTATGTTTACATCTATGCACATCTATGCATGATAATGCTTAATTTATAAATTAGATATATTACTTTCAATGACAATAACTTTAATAATAACAGAACAATTATAGAACATATTGCAGTAAAAGTTATATGAATGTGGTCTCCCTCTCTCAAAAAAATCTTTCTGTACTTCTACTTTTTTACTTAATGGAAATGCCTTATGACTTCTCTTGGGCATGTCTGAACTGCTAGAGTCATTATTGTTTGGGGACATGGTTAAGTAAAATAAGGGGTACCAGAATACAAACGCTGAAAAACTGCAGCAGTTGATTTGTTAACTTAGATGGCTAGTGAGTGACTGTGTGGTATATAGAGTATGTGGTTAATATATAGAGCACAAGTATCCTTGACAAAGGGATAGCTCATGTCCTGGGTGGGATGGGAAGGGATGGTATGAGATTTCATCATGCTACTCACATGGCATACAAATATAAATTTATGACTGGTTTATTCTGGAATTTGTCATTTAATATTTTTGGATCATGATTGTCAATGGATAACTGAAACCAGAGAAAGTGGAACAATGGATGGGGTGTGTGTGACTATACTAGTGACTTATATACTGTATACCTAGCAATAAAGTTTGTACTTCTCATAGCTAACATACTGTGGCACTTGAAATTTGAACTGTATGTTGTGTAATACACAACTGTGTGTTGTTATTTAGCCAAACCATGGTAATAGAAATTTGTGCATATAGGAACTGTGTAAAGCAGGAACTGCCCCCCCAAAATAATGTCCAAGGCTAATTGTTAGCAAGAAGCTTATCAATCATAAAAACATGGTTTAACATTTTACTATCTATACATATCCTATAACAACATGTTGTAAATCTCTAATGTATGCAAATAAATAAAATTTATTTAAGTAATGATTCATCTATTTTAATTCATTGTGTGGGATGACCATTTTATTTGTATGCACTTAAAGATAACTATATGAGTTTATGTAGCAGTTTAAAAGCAACACAAAGCTGAAATTAATTGCTGTTTCTCTTTTCCAGTTTTATGTATGGGGAACTGACTGACAAGAAGACCATTGAGAAAGTCAGGCAGACTTTTGACAACTACGAGTCAAACTGCTTTGAAGTTCTTCTGTACAAAAAAAATAGTAGGTATATCTGTTATCAATAAGGTGACCTAACTTTTTCTTAATGTTATATTTTGGTAAATTATAGTTGAGCTACAATGTAGAGTATGTAAAATTTCATTATTCCTCTTGGTAGGGGGAGGAGTTCCCAGTGAAATTAATAAATGATTCTACCTATGGAAGAAAAATGTGGTGCATTTTATTTTAAATTGTCAAATTACAGTTGTACATACTTATGGGTACAAAATGATGTTATGATCTATAAATATAATTTGGAATATTTAAATTAAGCAAATTCACGTATCTGTTACCTCAACTACTCATCTTTTGTTGTGAGAACATTTGAAATTCATTCTTAGCAGTTGTGATGTGCACATTACATTATTATAACTATATTTACTATTCTGTGCACTAGATCTCATAAACATTTCTCTTGTGTAACTGAGACTTTGTGCCATTTGACCATCCTTTCCTCATTTTGCCTAACCCCCCAGGTTCTAGTAACCACCATTTTGCTTTTTAGCGTCTATGAGCTTGATTGTTTAAAATTCCACTAAAGAATAAGAAGATATGGCATTTGTCTTTCTGTGCCTGTGTTATTTCACTTAACATAATGTTCTATTCCATCCATGCTGTTGCAAGTAACAGAATTTCCTTCTTTTTTTGTTTTTTTTCTTTTATAAATGGCACAAGATTTGAAGAATTTCCTCCTTTCAAAGACTTGAATTACATACAGTATTCCATTTTCTTCATGAATTCATTTGTTTATAGACAAATTTGGCTTGATTCTATCATTGGCTTTTTAGTGAATTGTGCTGCAGTGAACATGGGGGTACTGGCATCTCTTTGGTACACTAACTTCAAATCTTTTGTGCAAATATCCAGAAGTGGGGCTGCTGAATTGTATGGTAGTTGTGTTTTAAAATTTTCTTAGGAAACTCCATATAGTTTTCCACAGTGGCTCTACTAATTTGCATTCACACCAATAGTGTGCAAGGTTTTCCTTTTCATCGCATCCTTGCTAACATTTAACTTTTATCTTTTTGATCCACCATTCTGATATGTGGGATTGTGACATTTATTGTGGTTTTAATTTGCATTTCCCTAGTGATTAGTAATCTTCAGTGTTTTTTGTGTTCACGTCGGTCATTTGTTATGTTTTCAGTTTAGAAATTTCTGTTCAGATCCTTTTGACTATTTTTTGATTGTGCTGTTTTCTCTCTATAAAATACTTTGAGCTTCTTATTAACCCCTTATCAAATATATGTCTTGTAAGGATTTTCTCCCAATCTATAGGTTGCCTCTAAATGTGACTTTTTGTATGTCAGCCAGGACAATATTTTGTAATTAACACTCATAATGATAAACATCTTATATGACAATAACCAAAAATGACCAAAATTTATAAATTTCTTTTTATTGCTAAAGCACACACTTACCTTTCTACACAAACACAGGTGACAGAAGGTGAGTCTTTTCTAATATTCCCCTTTGCTACTTAGACTGTTTCTTTAGGATGCTAGTGAGAGCACTCATTATAGGTCATTCAAGTCTAGTAAATTTGTATTGATTGTTGGGTGTGTTCTCTAGGACGAGATTTGTGCCTGGTCTATGGCTCAGTATATAATCACATAAAACCTTGTGTTATAGCCTTCAATCAGTGTTTGGAGGGGAAAAAAATCAACCAAACAAAACACCAAGGAGTATGTTCAATAATAGAGTCCCCTTTCTAATTTGCTTTCATTACATCAATCACCTGCTTTATCTCTTTTTATTGCCTTCTCAAATTGTCTTTTCTTTCTTGAAATCAACAGTCACTTCATAAGATCTGTCCACTTATTGCTTGTTAATGGTAAAGGACAGCAGAGTCCATTATTATTTTCAGTGGAATTTGATGGTCACTAAATTCTTCCCACGTTTGGGAAACATTCTAGCTTCAACAGGAAAACATTTGTCCCCTGTTCAGTGCTTATGTGATCTGGTGATGTGTAATTTATTCTTCCTATGTTTTTGAGCCATTGTTTTCTATGAAATATTTGGAATTAAAATTAGATTTTTCTTCTTTTTAATTTTTTTGGAGGTCCTGGAGTTTGAACTCAGGGCTTCATGCTTGCTGGACTAGCCTATAACTGTAGAGTTTTTCTTCTATAGTAATAGGCTAGCAAAGGGATAACAGCCACAGACATTGCCTTGCAGCAGTGCATTTGAAAATGGGAACAGTTATTTTTAGTGGTTTTACCTAAAGAATATATCGTCATCGTACCTTTGATTTTAGAATCAATGCCAAAAATATATCTCCATTTGAAGTCTTAGCCAAGTGACAGTTGGCTTGTCACATAGGAAACAACCCATTTTGAATGATCAGTTCTTCCTTTTGTAAGAGTAAAGACAGGTTATAGGTGCTTTCTGGTTCTTTCCCCTCCTCCCCCGTTCCACGCATCTATTGATAATTCATAGGAGACCCATCTCCCAAATCTCTTCATTTTCATTTAAGCTTGTTAACCCTTAAGTGACATAGATATGTTTAGCAAATTATTTAAGAATACTTTGTATTACTAAGGTCATTCACTCTGACTTCTAAACACAATTAACAAATAATTGCCTGATTTTCAGACATCAAAGCCAAGTCTATATTTTCTAAGTCTCTCAACAATACCTCAGTATACCTCAGTAGAATTCTATATTGTTTATTTACTCTAAACAACATTAGTAATAACTTGATATTTTCATTCCTCAGATTCTCCTTCCTGTGTGGTTTAGATATTTTGCTTTATGTTAATGGACTGAAATTATGACCTGACCTTTATTCAGTCCTGTCTGGTTCTTTTCAGATAATTATCTGTATATGTGTAGATGTTTGCCTGCAGCTGGTAGGAAACATATCCCACAGCACTGGAAATCAAACTTGTATTGTGTCTGTGTACTATCTGCATTGAGTTTTACTTTTTTTTTTGCTTTAATATGAAGGATTGGTCTTATCTATGCATTATAATGAAATTTTAATATTTAAAAGCAGCTTAAAAAACCATATAAGCCATTTGCTGTAAACTTTTGAACATCAACTGAAAAAGTGTATTCTTGTGATTTTAAAAAGTATTTTATAGAAAAATTTGCATATCTGTAGGAAACTACTTTAGGAATATCTGAATGTCAAGCTCCCTCAACACTTCCATTAAGTAATTAGGTTAAACACCATTTTGGAAATGGGGGATATTGCAATATTTGATTTAATATGTGTCAGGATTGACATTTCCATTTGCATCCTCCATCCTTTAGGTCCAGTGTTCTTAATAACAGAGGGCCATCTGTACTGTGGGGAAATACAGAGCATCTCTGGGTGATGGCTTAAAATGGCTCCTTCTATGCACATAAAGGAGCTGTGACAACCAGGGCTCCTGTCAGTAACTAGTGCCAAAGCCCTGCCTGAGTGTCCAGTGGCAACAAAGCCCCTCTGCCTACCCCTCCCAGACTCCCATTCCCCTCAACCTCAAGTTCAGGATATAAAGGATATTTCATCAGCTACTTGGCAAATATTCAACCTTCTTTGGAAAGGCTTGAAAAGTTGAAAAAAATGTACCTTGATATCTGAAACAAGCAGCTTTTAAACAGTCCTGTCTCTGTCAGAGTTTGAAAAGTTGCTGTTTTCATAGGAAGGCATGAAATGTAACACTGCTTTTTCTGTTCAGATTTGTAACAGACCTTGGAAAATGACTTATTTTTAGTGCCCTTTCTCTTTGTTTATGACCCCTCTGCCTCGAGCTCACTGTGTTGGAACTGCCATAGGCCATGTCCACACTAGTGTCTAGGGCTGGTTGTCTGTAAAACTCTGCACATCATTCACAGTTTCTGGACATGCTGTTCAAAATAAGGAGCAGAAAACAAAGAACAAGCCTCTCTGGGAGATGATGTGATTGTTTTCAAGGTCCATGCATCCTGCAGTCCTTTTGCAAAAGGCCCTGTCCTTTCATAGGCCTGCTGGGGCTACAAAAGATATGGTGGCAGGAACTGAATATTCTGACTCATTGAACCTAGTATTGAGCCATCTCATCTTGCCTAAATGGCAGTGCCACCTGTGGCATTAGGGTGACATATTTTTTGATATGGATATAAACTGCTTCTTATTTGGTTTTCATTGAAACCACTAAGAGGTTATCAATTTCCACCTACAGAATATTAGTAGCTGCACATTCTAATCTCCAAATATGAAACCTGACAAAGACCTGTTATGACTTTAAGATAGAATAGTCAGAGGGGCTTCATTGCACTATGGGTTGGTAAAAATGGGATCTTTTTGATTCTGATGGAACATTTCTTCAGTGTTTTGTCACTTGATGGATAATTATTCCCTTTAAGTCATTTGTTGTGCAAATGACTTTTATTTATTTATTATTTGCTGCATGGCGGTTCCTAATTTCTCTAAATCCTCAACTTTGAATGCTCTGAACCCCTCTTCCCTCTAGAGTCTGCAGTAACCCTACTTTGAAGGATGTAGCAGCAGAGTCCGGCTTGAGCTTTGAGTGATGGAGGAAGGAAGCAGTGGGTGATGAAAGCACCTGAGATTCTCAAGGGCAATGAATACATTTTATTTTTTTCCTTTAAGGTTACCTCAAAGGTTTCAGGTATAGCTCTGTATACATCAGGTGTCAAATGTTGTTAATATCCTCTCAAATGTGAGGACACAGTCAAAGCCATAGAGGTATCATATAAATCTAGCTGACTGATGAGAGCCTTGGGAAAGAAGCAGCATTTCAGATGTCCCTCTAGGAGCAACACTTACCAGAGCATCAGGTACTGCGATTAATTGGAAACACTTGTCAAAGTGACAAGACTAAGAGAAGCATGTAGGAGTGATAACACTTGATAAGACTACCAAAAGCAAGCTAGGGAGAGAGCAGTTAAGGCTTAGGGACCCAGATCCAAAGGTGATGCTGGCATTGTTTCAGTAGCAAGACTGCCTTTGCGTGCCTGTGTTGTGAAGTGACACTCTGTACTTTACTTTAGAATTTTCATGTTTTGGGTTGAAAAACATGTCTGTTAAATTTGCACAACTGGTAGTTGATACAAAAAATAAAGATTTTTTTATTCTTTGCAGCAACAAAATTACTGTTGCTTTGGTGCTGATTCCTGGCACAGCAGTTGCCTGCTGAAGGAAAAGGGAAGGCAGGAGAGCAAACCATTCCTGTGGTGTGTGACACTCTGCTGTACTTTCTCTCCCCCTCTCTCTACTACAGGAACCCCTGTTTGGTTTTACATGCAAATTGCACCAATAAGGAATGAGCATGAGAAGGTGGTCTTGTTCCTGTGTACATTCAAGGATATTACATTGTTCAAACAGCCAATAGAGGATGATTCAACAAAAGGTAATTTTTAAAAGGATTACTACACTTAAAAATTAGGTTGTAATTGAGCACCAGTGACTCGTGTCTCTAATCCTAGTTACTCAGGAGGCAGATATCAGGAGGATCATAGTTCAAAGCCAGCATATCGTTCATGAAACCCTATCTTGGAAATACTCAATAGAAAAAAGGGCTGGTGGAATGGCATAAGTGGTAGAGTGCCTGTCTCACAAGCAAGAAGCCCCGTGTTTAAACCCCATTACCACCACCAAAAAGAGTAAATTGCCCCTTAACTATCTCTATCTTGTTTTGGCCAACTCCACTGGTTGAACTGGAAAATAAGATTTTTAGTATGTGGTCCTTCTTTTGCTTTACATTCATAATAGTAATTGTGCAGAGTCAGTTTTATTCAGTTATGTTGTCTGAATGGAATTAGCATGGCAGCTCAAAGTTGAAATATTAGTTGGTTAACTAGAATTATAGTAGAAGAAGTAGAGATAGGACATCAGAAGGAAATTCTACAGACCATTTTAAATTTAGAATCAGTATAATTGGAGTTCACCCTGCACTACAATGAATTTTAGAAACAAGAGAGTATACAGCCTGTGGGACAGGTTAGGTAAAGTCCTGCTATATCTCTGTTGATAAGTTGATGGAGTTTTATTGAATTGATTAGAGTTTTATTAGTTGACCTTTCCAGTTTACTTATCAGCTTTTATTTATTCAGTTATTGCATATTCTCTTGAGCAGATGTTGCTAGATTATATAAAGTATAATTTTGCCCTCAAGAGAGAAGCTGGCAAAATGCAAACTTCCCAACTGGATTCTTAATGAGTATAATATCCAGAGAGGCTGCTATAGAAACCTATAGTGCATGTGCTTTTACCTCTTTTCTATGTAATTTATTCCCAATTTATTCTCTCTAATTATGTTTAAATTAGAAACTGGTATCATATAAATGAAGCATTTCAAATACCCTTAGAAATAGCTTTTACAAAATGTTATTTTTATAATCTCTTAGGAGATTAAAAATGAAATGTCTTCCTCTTTGCATTTGGCAAACATTGTCTTTTCTTACTTATTTTAAAAAACTGGCAAAGAAGCATTAAGCTTTCCAACTGTAATCAGAATTATAGGAAAAAGCCACATTAGTTTATTCTTTGTATACAAGTTCACATATGTAATATATCTGCTCAGTGTCAAATTATAAAAGGAAAAATTTTACAATATGACAGCTATTCAAAGTATAACATAGAAAAATTGATGTGTAAATGTTTCTGAAAATGGGGAGTGTGTGAAATCATCTCTTGGAAGATCAAACAAAGCACTCAGTTTGGGGCCTACAGTACTTAGACACAGGTTCCTCTGCCTTTACACATACACTCAATGCTTTGAATGTTTAGGATTAGTGCAAATACTGTTTTTAATAAAGTAGTCTTCTAATAGTTTTCAGAAGTTTTTGTTGTTGCTTTTGAAATGGAATCTTGCTGTGCTGTCCATGCTGGTCTGGAACTCCTGGGTGCAAATCATTCCTCTGCTTCAGCCTCCCTGGTAACTGAGACTACAGCATATGCTACTGTGTTGACTCTAATAGTATTAAGGCTTAATGCTCATTGTTTGTTTGAAAATTTGTGGCTTTAAAATTTCATCTGAATGCCAGAGGCATATTTTCCTCAACCTTCTATAGAGCATTCACTAGTAGATCACATTGTGGGCCAAAGACCACACTTTGACAAGTTTAAAAGAAAAGAAGTCTTAGAAAGTATGTTCTCAGATCACAATAGAATTAAATTATAAATCAATAACAGAAAGATAACTGGAAAATTCTCAAATATTTGCAAATTAAACAACACATTTATAAATAATCCATGAGTCAAAGAAGTGATAAATTAGAAAAATATTTTGAACAAAATGGCAGTTCAATTGTTCAAATTTGTGAGATGTGGTAAAAGTAGGATTTAGAAGGAAATATATAACATGAAATATACATATTAGAAAAGAAGAAAGCTATAAAAACATCAACTTAAGCTTCCACCTTAGGAAACTAAGAGAAGAAGAGCATTTAAAAACCAAAACAAACTAAAGACAAGAAATTATAAAACTTAGAGCAGAAATCAGTGACAACTTTAGAGAAAAATCACCCAAACCCACATCTAGTTCTTTGAAAAGATCATTAAGGTTGATAAATCTCTAGCTAGGCTAACCAAGAAAAAAAGAAGAAGATACAAATTACCAGTAGCAGAAATTAATGAAGGTTCATCACTACTCATTGTATGGACATTAAAGCACAGCAAAAGATTACTATGAACCTCCCTGTGTTCATCTTGGCAATTTGTAGAAAAGGGACCAATTCTTTGAAACTCACAACCCTACCAAAACTCACTCAAGAAGAAATAGGTAAGTTCAATTACCCTAGATTTATTAAAAATTTGATCAATATGCATGAATTCCCAAAACCAATAAAATAAAAATAATAAGTGTGGACAGTTTCATCCATAAATTCTATGAAACATTTAGGGAAGAAATAATACCAGTTCTTCAAGTGTCTTCCAGAAAATAGAAGCAGAGGGAGGTCTCCTCTATGAGGCCATTACTCTCCTCATACCAAAATCAGAAAAATGATACTATAAGAAAAGGAAATTATAGATCAACATTTTTCATGAATAATATAAAAATCTTCAACAAATATTGAACCCAAGAATGTACAAAAAATTACACATAACAAGTGAGATTTAACACAGATAGGCAAGATTTGTTCTACAGTCAAAATCAAATGCTGTAATCCATACCAGCAGGCCAGTGGAGAAAAATTATAGGATCATATCAGTTGCCATTGAATAAGCATTTGATAAGCAACTTGCACTCATGATAGAAATTCTCAGAAGTGGAAATACAGTGTAAGGTCCACAAGTTGATAAGGAACAACTGTGAGAAACCTACCACTCATAGTGGACTATATTTTCACGAAATTTATTGTAAACAAAAGATAAATGGTGGATATGTGATTTGTGAATTAACATACTCTTTTTTCTTTCTTATTGTTGTTCTGGGTAGGGTTACATTGTAACATTTACAAAGGTTCTTACAGTGTATCATATATATCATACTTGACTTCATCCCCTCCTCTGCTCTCCTTCATCTCTCCTCCCCCATTCTTGGAACAGTTTCAATAGGTATCATTTTTTTGCATTTACATACATATGTATTCATTATTTGCACCATATTCATCCTCTCACCCCTTTCCCTGCCACCTCCCCTCTCCCACTGGTGTCAACCTCCCCCCCAAGTCTGTTCCACCCTCCTGTTCTCCAGTTTTGTAGAAGAAAAAAACATAAAAAGATAAAAATGACGTTTTTGCCTGTTTGAGATAAAGATAGCTACAAAGAGACTTTCCTTGTGTTGTTTCCATGCACATATGTGTTACAACCCCAATTGGTTCATCTCTTCAGTCCTCTTCACTCCTCTCTAGTCCACTTTTCATGGTGGCCCCCTGCCTGTTTAAGATTTCTATATTCATTCCTGTACTGTGAGCACATCAACCTCACTCAAGTTTTTAGTTTCCTTCCCTTGCCCTATCCCTCTGTGTGCCCTATCCTGTAGTGTGACCCATGTCCCATAATATTGCTACATTTATTTTAGGTTTGTAATTCGCATATAAGGAAGAACATGTGATTTTTGGCCTTCTGAGTCTGACTAACTTTACTTAAGATGATGTTCTACAGTTCCATCCATTTATCTGCAGATGACAAAATTTCATTCCTCTTTGTGTGACCTAACATATTCTTCAAATGAATTTTGTTGCCTTCCCAAGTGAGTGACACCCAGCCTTAGTGAAAAGCTTTTGTCACACTCCTTGCTCCTAAAAAATGTATTTGTATAAGATGCCTATTACTTTCTCCTATTTCATGACACAGTTGAAATTGGCCATGGAAAGTAAGCATTTCTCCATTTTGACTTGCTGAACCTTAGTGGTGGAGTCTGTAATAATGTAGTTAGGGAAGTGAAAGTTGTCAGCATTTTACAATGAATTTGGGGAAAGGGCGCTGCTTTTGAGGGGTTGACTTTTATTTATGAAATCAATGCCTCTCCATTCATCTGCCCCACCTTCATCTCTCTGCTTTCTCACATCAGAGTCACAGAGAACTTTGTAAAGCATAGTCTCTTGAATGAATTATTCACCTTTATTATGAAAATAATTCTTGAATAAGTCCCAGACAATCAGACCACTTGATTTTCAAACTATAAGCTCCATAGACTTATAAATTAAAATTTATAGAGAAAATCACAGATCCTGAAAAACATTAGTGTAAAATATTTCTCTCCAGTGCCAGAATTATTAGAAGGACCTGTTTTTAAAATGATGTTTATTTTGAGACTCCTTCACACCTTCCAGATATGTAATGGATTACTGAGAAAGTATTGCATAAAGTAGCTATGAATGGTTACGGGCTACTTTCTATTATCCACATGAGCTGTACATTGAATATGAAAAATTCAAAAGAAATAAAATATGTATACCATTAAGTCCTTGTCCTATGTCTATATCTTCGAAACCAGCACTTTAGAAGATTATGCTTTGAAATCTTGGCACAGTAATATATATTTCAACTTTTTAAATTCAGGTAAAAAGAGACCAAAGAACTTTTGAGAAATAACATATGAGATTTTATGATAACACTGTAGTACCAAAATGATTTGGGTCTAGAGCACTGAACCTGGAGGCAGCAAACTTGTATGTGATTCGGCCTTGGGCACCAGAGTATTTAACACAACTCTATAGAAAAAAATCCTATAGGGGTTTTCCATAACCCTTATAGGAATATTTTACTCTCCTTATATTTCATTAATCTATTACTTTCCAACCAACAATGTGATTGAGAACATGTGCCTAGAGTTACAAAACCCCTTCTCTCACAAGCCAATGGGCAAGACAGACCAACAAGTAATATATAGTGGAAGTTTTCATGGAATTGCTCCTGTTCTCTCTCACTCTCTCTCTTTGTTTCTTTTTGCGGTACTGAGGC